CAGTCAGAGGGGCGGCTTCCCTGGATGGGCTGTGAGGTGTGAAGACCTCAGTGTCCGCTTGCCTGTGCCAGGAGAGGATCTCACAGTGGCACGACCAGAGCAGCCGCTACTCTACGGAGCTGCGGGACTTCAAGAACCAGGTGCTGGGGATGCTTGAGACAGCAGAGAAGGAGAGGGAGGCGATGCGGTCGGAGGCAGAGAGCGCAGCAGTGCGCGTGGACCGGCTGGAGCGTGAGGTGGACTACCTGGAGACACAGAACCCCGCGCCACCCTGCGTGGAGGTGGACGAGACGCTGATGGAGAAGCAGGTAGCCACAGCCAAGCAAAGGAAGAATGAGAAATACACCAAGCTGACAGGTAAGGGGCTTGTGTGACTCAGTGGGGCCATGGTTCTGGGTGTGAAGTTATCCCAAGCCTTCCTAGCCCACCCAGGTCCAACACTCCCCCAGCCACGCACCATGGCATTACATCCCAGCAGGGTGTCTCTCAGGTGTCTCTGCCACAGGATCCTGCATCCCCACACCTCCCTGGGAGCCACATTCAAGCTCCAGGCCAGAGCTTTGAGCTTCTCCAGAGCTCAAAGGAGGCAGGGCTGGGGTGAGGGTGGCCTTCCGTGCCAATGGCATGGATGCAGCCTCTGCAGCGAGTCTGCAAGGCAGTTGCCTGAGGGCTGGGGTGGGATGCAGCAAGAGCTGTGTGACTTTAGCCCAAAGTGGGAGCAGTCCCCACTGCAGGGCCAGGTAGTTTCCAGGCATTCACAGATGCTCTGCTCTGCCCAGACTGCAGCGACACCATCTCGAGTGTCAGAGCCATGAAGATCCTGAAACGTTTTGGCAGCACCTCCGGGCTCTGGACCAAGGATGCCGCAGGGAACTCCGAGAAGATCTACGTCTTCGACGGCACTGCCAATGACACGGTGTACGTCTTCCCCCGCATGCGGGAGTTCACCCTCTTCTCTGCCACCCGTAAGGCCGCCCGCATCAAGCTGCCCTACCCCTGGGTGGGCACTGGGCACCTTGTCTATGACGGGCACCTCTACTACATCCGCCAGCAGGGTCCCTTCCAGGTGATCAAGTTCAACCTGGCCAACAAGACAGTGGTGGACAGCTCGGTGTTCCCGGCTGAGGAGCAGATCCCTGTCTTCGGGCTTTCCCCCTTCACCTTCATCGAGGTGGCAGCAGATGAAGAAGGGCTGTGGGCTATCTACGCCACCAAGGAGGATGAGAAGAACATTTGCCTGGCCAAGCTGGACCCCGCCACCCTGGACATCGAGCAGATGTGGGACACGCCGTGCCCGCGGGAGAACGCCGAGGGCGCGTTCGTGGTGTGAGTTGGCCACCCCCCCCCCCCCCCAGCCGCTCCCGCGTGCAGTGCGTCTTCGACGTCAGCGGCACGCTGGGCCCCGAGGACGCCGCCCTCGTCTACTTCCCCAAGCGCTACGGCTCCCACTCCAGCATGAAGTACAGCCCCCGGGAGAGGCAGATCTATGCCTGGGATGACGGCTACCAGATCATCTACCGCATGGAGATGAAGAAGAAGCTGGAGGTCTGAGGAGCCACGGTAGGATGTCCCCGCGCATCCGGCCACCCCACCTGGGCAAGCGCAGCTCTGCTCATCTCACGCCGTGGGGCACAGCTGGCCCGGCGTGGGATGGCATCTCTACCCCGTCTCCCATCACTGTGAAATGATGAAATGCTGGATGCCTAACCCCAGCCACCCCCTCCAGCCAGCACCAGGCACCCCTGCCCAGGACCACCCTGCAGAAGCCTGGACTAATTTAATTAGATTATCTTTTCTGTGATATAATTAATAAATTCTATGCAGCGAGCTCTAGCTGCCTGCTTGGGGGAAATGTGGGGCACTGGGGCCAGGCTGTCAGAGCCACAAGCTCCACATTGCCCCTGTGTCACCCCAAAAGACACTTCCCAAGAGCGGGGTGTCCATGCAGGGCTTGCCAGAGCAGTGAGCAGAGGCAGTTCATTGACTTGGGGCTTTGGGCAAAGTGACTGGGTTGGGGGATTGGCTGGGGCTTTGGGCAGGGATTTATGCTGGGGCTTTGGATAGGCTCCTGCTGCAGCAAGGGGACCTCTGAGCCTGGCCAGGGCCAGACTGTTTTGCATGTACAAAACTGATCAAACAGGAAAATCCCTTAATCTGAGAGGACAACTGGAGATTTTCCAACTGGGGCAGTCAGCAGGCACCAGATGTTGCTGATTTTCTATGTTCACTTCTAGTGAAGCAGAGTCATCTTTCCCCTGCCACAAATACTTTACGTAGGGCCCTGGGTCCCCCGAGCCCCTTCCTGTCCCTGGTTCACTGGTGCCAAGTCCCCACACAGCCCCATGGCAGCAGCACCCTAGAGGAGATGGGGCAGGTGCTGGGAGCCCCTTCGGACAGCAGCTCTGGAGCTGCCAATGCTCAATATTCCTGTCTCCGAGGTGGGGGCCCGGGCTGCGGCAGGCACCTGCTGGGCACAAGCACAGCCCCACGTGGCCACCATGCCACAGCCTTCCAGTCCTCACCACATCACCCAGCAGTGGCTGTCCCACGTGCTGCCACTTGCACTGCACCCCTGGAGAGTGCGAGATTTGGCCCATTTCTGGCCAGAGATGCCGCAGGCCCCCCAAAAACTCAGGTTTGCTGAGATTTGTTCCTGTCATGGTGTCCTGAGAGCACAGAGGATGAATTATGAGGTGTTTATGTGTTGCTAAACATCACTTTTTTTCCACCAGAGATCAATTCTGGGGACAAATGCTGAACACATGAAGCCATGAGCCATCTGGCCAGGCAAGGATCACATCCTGCTGGTGATGGCTCAGGACCTCACTCTGGAGCAAGAGGCCATGGAGCCACCTGGGCACCCCAGGAGGTGCCAGTCCCACGGGCAGCACCAATGCCAGGTGTGGCATGGCCATGACAGTCCTGTGTTGCCATAAAACCAGGCGTTCAGCATCCCCCCGCCCCCATCTCAAGGCAAGCTGTCCTGCCATGTGGAAGTGATTTGGTATCTGTTTCAAGTTCTGTATTGTAATTAAAATTTCTTTGGGTTGCAAAAGAAAAATGTTTAAATACACACTTTGAATTACTGTAATCGGACGGTGCTGAAAGTTCAACAGACAGCACAAGTCAAGCAGAGAAATTATCCAAGTGTGAAGGACTGTGTGAACTGTCAAGTTAATCTATAGCCCTTTTCAAGATCAATAACTACAGTAAGAGAAATATAGTTTTCAGAAATTGCATAGTTGTAAATAATTACACCAATGATTTCTCTAGCTTGAATTAAAATCGCCGAGGCAGCAGGGACTCTGCACCAGAAACCATCTTCCAGACTGAAATAAGTCCTGCACAGTCTGACCCTC